GTCATCGAGTCCAGTCCCCTGCCCCCATAGCAGGACCAAATACTGTCTAGACCATCCCTGATAGACATTTATCTAACCTACTCGTAAATATCTCCAGTGATGGAGATTCCACAACTTCCCTGGGCAATTTATTCCAGTGTTTAACCACCCAGACAGTTAGGAACTTTTTCCTAATGTCCAACCTAAACCTCCCTTGCTGCAGTTTAAGCCCATTACTTCTTGCTCTATCCTCAAAGGCCAGGCAGAACAAGTTTTCTCCCTCCTCCTTATGACACCCTTTTAGATACCTGAAAACCGCTAGCATGTCCCCTTTTAAACCTTTTTCCTAATGTCCAACCAAGCCCAATTCTTTCAGTCTTCCTTCATAGGTTACGTTCCCTAGACCTTTAATCATTCTTGTTGCTCTTCTCTGGACCTTTTCCAGTTTCTCCACATCTTTCTTGAAATGTGGCGCCCAGAACTGGACACAATAATCCAACTGAGGCCTAATCAGCGCAGAGTAGAGCAGAAGAATGACCTCGTGTCTTGCTCACAACAGACCTGTGAATGCATCCTAGAATCATGTTTGCTTTTTTTGCAACAGCATCACACTGTTGACTCATATTTAGCTTGTGGTCCACTATAACCCCTAGAGTTGCTTCCCATTCTGTATGTGTGAAACTGATTGTTCCTTCCTAAGTGGAGCACTTTGCATTTGTCCTTACTAAACTTCATCCGGTTTACTTCAGACCATTTCTCCAATTTGTCCAGATCATTTTGAATTATGGCCCTATCCTTCAAAGCACTTGCAACCCCTCCTAGCTTGGTATCATCTGCAAAGTTAATAAGCATACTCTCTATGCTGATATCTAAATAGTTGATGAAGATATTGAACAGAACTGGTCTCAGAACAGACCCCTGCGGAACCCCACTTGTAATACCATCCCAGCAGGACTGTGAGCTATTAATAACTACCCTCTGGAAATGGGTATCCAGCCAGTTATGCACCCATCTTATAGTAGCCCCATCTAAGTTGTGTTTGCCTAGTTTATTGATAAGAATATCATGTGAGACCATATCAAATGCTTTACTAAACTCTAGGTATACCACATCCACTGCTTCTCGCTTATCCACAAGACTCATTATCCTATCAAAGAAAGCTATCAGATTGGTTTGACATGATTTGTTCTTTACAAATCCATGCTGGCTGTTCCCTATCACCTTATTATCTTCCAATTGTTTGCAGATGATTTCCTTAATTACTTGCTTCATTATCTTTCCTGGCACAGAAGTTAAACTGACTGGTCTGTAGTTTCCTGGGTTGTACATAATGCAGTTTCCTGGATTCCCATGCTGCACATAACGCAGGTGTAAATGACCTTTATGCAACTATTCCTCAATCTCTAGGGGTATGTCTATACTACCACCCTAGTTCGAACTAGGGTGGTAATGTAGGCAACCGGAGTTGCAAATGAAGCCCGGGATTTGAATTTCCCGGGCTTCATTTGCATCTTGCCGGGCGCCACCATTTTTAAATGTCCGCTAGTGCGGACTCCGTGCCGCACGGCTACACACGGCACGGACTAGGTAGTTCGGAATCGAGGAGTAACGGTAGTCTAGTCCGACTACACGCGGCACGGACTAGGTAGTTCAGACTAGGCTTCCTATTCCGAACTACCGTTAGAGTAACGGTAGTCTAGTCCGAACTACCTACACGCGGCACGGAGTCCGCACTAGCGGACATTTAAAAATGGCGGTGCCCAGCTTTATACAAATGAAGCCCGGGCAATTCAAATCCCGGGCTTCATTTGCAACTCCGGTTGCCTACATTACCACCCTAGTTTGAACTAGGGTGCTAGTGTAGACATACCCCAGGCTAGTTTAAAGGCAGATTTAAACACAGCCTCCACGGTACTCTAAATTGTAGCAGCTACTAACAGCAGCTTCCTGGTCAAGCCTCTTTCTCTCAACCACAGCTGCCATTTCAAAGGCTGGTAAAATAGCCATTCCACTGGCCCAATGTCAGCCATGATGGGAGAATGGTTGGGATGCCCATTAAGTTGTCTGTGTGACTGCCACACGAGGTTAAGGATCTGGCCCATGCTCTTGTTTATCAGCGTGTTTTCTTCAGCCGTCCTCTCATTGGCATTCATAACAACAGCCTTTTGAGTCAGACAGTGGTCTATCTAGCCCAGTAGCCTCTTTGCCAACAGTGGCCAATGGCAAAAGCTTCAGTGGGAACAGCCAGACAAGGGCAATTATCAGGCAATCCCTCCCCTGTCGGCTAGGCCCAACATCGGGCATTCAGAGGTTTAGGGACACCTAAAAGCATGAGGTTGCACCTCTGACCCTCTTGGCTAAAAGCATTGATGAGCCTATCCTCAATAAATTTATCTAATTGTTTTGAATCCAGTTATAGTTTTGGGGTTCTCAACATCCCTTGGCAATGAGTTCCACAAGCTGACTATGCATTGTGTGATAAAATTCTTCCTTAAGTTTGTTTAAAACCTGATGCCCATTAATTTCATTAGGTTATCTCTGGTTCTCGTGTTTCATGAAGGGGCAAACAAGAATTTAGTTACTTCTCCATTACAGTCGTTATTTTATAGTCCTCTATTGTATCCTCCCCAGTCATCACTTTGCTAAGAGGAACAGTCCAGTTTTTTAATCTCTCCTCACATACTTTTTCTAATTCTAATACCTATTATTTGGAAACAGGGCAACCAGAATTGCATGCAGATATTCAAGGGATAGGCGCACCATGGATTTACATAATGGCATGATTTTTGTCTTATTAGTTTTCTTAATGGTTCCTTTCTTAATGGTTCCTAATAGTCCATAAGCTTTTTTGACTAGTGCTGCAACCTGAGTAGATGTTTTCAAAGAACTATCTGCAATGACTCCAAGATATCTCAAGTGATAATTATTATTATTATTATTATTATTAATCCTCTTCACTCCTAATGGAGCATAAAGCGCCAACGAATTTTCTCCAGCCTTCACAGTCCTGAGAAAGCCATCTGACTTCTTCCCAGGTCGTACCCTTCCTTTTCATGTCCGCCTCCACAGTCCTCCTCCAGGTGCCCAACGGCCTCCCTCATTTACGCTTTCCAGGTGGAGTCCATCTAAGTGCCATATGAGGGAGTCTTTTTTCGCTCATCTGAAGGACATGCCCCAGCCATCTCCAGCGTCTCTGCTTGATCTCGTCCACAACATTGTTGATGCCAATGCGTTGGCTTATCTCCTTGTTGGTAACATGCTGTTTCCTGCTCATTCAGAAATATAATTTATGCTATCATGTGCCAAAAGTCTCCGTCTGCTATGTACATTGGACAAACGTCTCAGACACTTTGCCAAAGGATCAATGCCCACAAAACAGATATTAGACAGGATCACAGAGAAAAAACAGTTTCTTGACATTTCAGCCAGAAAGGGCATTGTCTCAATGACTTGATTACCTGCATCCTGCTTCAAAGACATTTTAACACCATATGTTCACATTTTAACACCATATGTTCACATGTTTTTGATCTGAGGAAGTGGGTCTACACCATATGTTCACATTTTAACACCATATGTTCACATTTTAACACCATATGTTCACATTTTAACACCATATGTTCACATTTTAACACCATATGTTCACATGTTTTTGATCTGAGGAAGTGGGTCTGGCCCACGAAAGCTCATCATCTAATAAACCATCTTGTTAGTCTTTAAAGTGCTACATAGTCCTGTATTTTATTTTAACACCAGACTTGAAAGAGAATCCTCTGAACTGTCACTCATGCTTAAATTTGACACTTTACACCTAGGTCTTAACACCGACACTAATTACCTTACCCATTACAAAAATAGCTTCCCCAATTATCACCTCTAATATCATTAGCTCACAGACATTTACCTCCCCCCCCCCATCCTCCTTCTGTTCTGAAATTTGATTTGTCCTTTTCATATGTGTTCATTTTTTGATTGTATCCTTTGGTATATATGGTTGTGCCAATTTTCTTCCACTATTTGATCTGAGGAAATAGGTCTGGCCCATGAAAGCTCATTGCCTAATAAACCATCTTGTTAGTCTTTAAAGTGCTACATAGTCCTGTATTTTGTTTCAGCTTGACCAGACTAACACGGCTACATCTCTATCAAAGTTAAGTAAGACTTTCTCTTTTTGTATCTATAGTGTGCATTATATTTTCCAATGTGCATTGTTTTATACTTATCACTGAACTTCATCTGTCATTTTGTTGCCAGTCACTCAGTTTTGTGAGATCCCTTTGTAACTATTTGCCATCTGCTTTGATCTCAGTACAGAACCGTGGGGCAGTGATTTTCGTAGCCCTGGGGAGTATGCAGCAGTTTTCCAGGGATTCATCAACCCATCCAGGGATTCATCAACCCATCTAGTTTTACAACAGGCCACATAAAAACACTAGGGGTATGTCTACACTACCCCGCTAGTTCGAACTAGGAGGGTAATGTAGGCATACCGCACTTGCAAATGAAGCCCGGGATTTGAATTTCCCGGGCTTCATTTGCATAAGCGGGGAGCCACCATCTTTAAAACCCCGCTGGTTCGAACCCTGTGCAGCTCAGCTACACGGGGCTCGAACTAGGTAGTTCGGACTAGGCTTCCTATTCCGAACTACTGGTACACCTCGTTCCGAACTACCGGTACACCTTGGAAGCCTAGTCCGAACTACCTAGTTCGAGCCCCGTGTAGCCGCGCTGCACGGGGTTCGAACCAGCGGGGTTTTAAAAATGGCAGAGCCCCGCTTATGCAAATGAAGCCCGGGAAATTCAAATCCCGGGCTTCATTTGCAAGTGCGGTATGCCTACATTACCCCGCTAGTTCGAACTAGTGGGGTAGTGTAGACATACCCTAGCAGAGTCAGTGAAAACTAAAATTTCATACAGACAATGGACTTGTTTATACTGCTCTATATGCTAAACACTGAAACATAAGTACAATGCTTACATTTCCATTGATTTTGGATAATTATATGGTAAAAAATAGAAAGTTAGCAATTTTTCAGTGATATTTTTGTTTTTGAATTAGATGAATCTTGGAGTGCACAAGACAAATCAGACTCCTGCAACTGGAAAGTTTGAGAGCCTCTGCTTTGGGGACTCTTGCTATTTCCCTCTCAGTACTGTCATGGGCAATGCCGGATTAATCCCCTCATTATGCTGTTTGTGTAAATTTTCTTAATACCTTCCTGACAGACCCTGCTGCTGAATCACAGCAGAAAATGTATCCACAGCAGAAAATGTATCCCTCCTGTTAGCAGTCACAGCAGAGAGGCTAAGGATGCAATGGGTAGGCAATAAAATTATCTTTTCAGACCTCGAGGGGATGAAGAAACCTGCTCTGCCCCTGTGCATGCTGGACTCATCCTGCAGATAGTCTTAAGCCTCCACACTTCTGGTGTAGTAAAATGCTGTGGGAATGAGTACTTGACAGCAGAAAATGTATCCCTCCTGTTAGCAGTCACAGCAGAGAGGCTAAGGATGCAATGGGTAGGCAATAAAATTATCTTTTCAGACCTCGAGGGGATGAAGAAACCTGCTCTGCCCCTGTGCATGCTGGACTCATCCTGCAGATAGTCTTAAGCCTCCACACTTCTGGTGTAGTAAAATGCTGTGGGAATGAGTACTTGTAGGGCCGAATCTATTGCAGAGGTGGTGAATATTCTTTACTTGGGTGAGCACTGAATTCATGTAAAAGAGAGAATAAACTCCTTCAGCCATGGCTAACTAGGAAACGGAATGTTCTTTGGGAGTGTTCTTACTCCCCCAACACTACTACGCAAGAATAACTGTCCTCAACAAGCGTAGCCTGCAGGAACCATCATCTCTAAGGTAAATGACTCGCTCTGTAGAGTTTGCAATAATGCTGTGATATTGGTTGAGGGATGACTGTACTGGGTATACTATTTTATGCTTCTTTTTTTACCTGTTATACTGACATAACATTACTCCACTAACTCTGAAATTTGAAAGAAGGTACAATGATTAGGGCATGAGCCTGGTACTTGTAAGATCTGGATACAATTCCTTGAACTTGGGAACCTTGGGCCAAAAAATTTTCATAAATGACTGAGGTACTTTGGGCCAAATTTACAGAGGCATTCATGTGCCTAATGCACTTTATGAGATTTACAGATGTGAATTAGGCATCTAATTACCATTGATTTTCAATAGGAGCAGTGTCTAACTTCCCTAGGCACTGTGTAAACCCCACAGAGGGTATGGCTACTAGGGATGTGAATGGTTAACCAGTAAACATCACCCTTATGGTTAACCAGTGGAGCCTGGGTCAGCTGCACACCTGCCATGGGTAGAAAGCTGCTCCAGCCAAGAGGGGCCACCATGGGTGGGGAGCACTGCAATCCAGCCAGAGCAGCCCCTGCCTGCAGCAGGCCTTGCCTGGCACACCGTGGGCAGGCATTCCAGCCCCTTCTGTCTACCACCACTCCAGTTTAAGTAGGTAACCAGTTAAATGTAACATTTAAATGGTTACTTAATTAACCCACTTCTCAGAATCAGGTTGACAACTTCTGGCTTCCACCACTCAGTTAAAAATGGCTGTGTAAATGATATTGCTCTAAAATCCACTTCTATCCCTAAGCTTCAGGGCCCAAGATCCAGTCTGAGCTGCAAAAGCTATTTTGGCAAAGTATAGCAAGGACCTTCAGCCAGAATTTGTCAAGTAGGGTTCTGAGACTTGCTGCCACAGTCTGTGTATTCATACCATGATTCTCTACCCTGTTTGAGCTAGAGAATACTACTGTTGGATCTTTGGGTTATCATGGGAGAAATTTTCTAGAATGAATCAGATTTCTTTTTGCAGGCAGTAATCACACCACCATCCTTTCCTTCCCTAACTGAAAAATATTCCTGACGTTGTCATGTACTTACCTCCCATGGGTGCCACCATTTAAATAGCATCAAGATGAAAAGAGTAGTATTCTGAGACAGTAGAATCACAGAACACCAGAACTGGAAGGGACCTTGAGAGGTCATCAAGTCCAGTCCCCTGCCCTCACGGGAGGACCCAGGACTGTCTCTAGACAATACCTGATAGATGTCTGTCTAACCTG